ATGTGCTTGTGACAAAAGGCAATGTCCAGTGCCGACGGCTGGACCGATCACCGTCTCGTCATTTCCAAGATGAGGATCTGCCTTCAACCACGCAGGAAACCCCAAGGTACGTGACCCCCAGGTAAGTTGAATACTGTTTTGTTAAATGTGCCTGCCAACCATTTGCATTTTAGCAACGAGATGGCTCAATGGCTAGCCAATCTTCCAGTCGCAGAGGAGAACGCCTCCGTAGAGAACCGTTGGTGTCAACTACGAGACACTGTTCAATCACCCGCCCAATGCGTCCTTGGTCACGCACGCCGCCAACACCAGGACTGGTTCGACGAAAACGATGCAGTCATCAGCAATTTGCTTGCCGATAAGAACCACCTGCACAAAGCTAACGTTGACCGCTCTACCGACGCCACGAAAACAGCCATCTACCAAAGTCGCTGTCTTCTGCAACAGCGGCTGAGGGAAATTCAGGATGCTTAGATGGTTCACAAAGGCGTAGAAATCCAAGGTTTTGCGGACCGCAACGAATGGTAAAACCTCTTCACTGCGATCAAGGCTGTCTATGGTCCCATCATCAAAGGCACAGATCCTCTGCTCAGCGCTGATGGATCCACCCGACTCACTGAGAAGGCGCAGATTCTGAAACGCTGAGCTGAGCAAAGTGTAGCAACCGTCCTTCCATCATCTCTGAAACCGCTATTGACCATCTGCCTCGGGTGGAAATCAACGCATATCTCGATCTCTCACCTACCCTTCAGGAAACCATCAAAGCTGTGCGGCAACTCTACAGCGGGAAAGCACCCGGTTCCGATGCGATCCCTGTAAAGATTAACCAATAAGGCGGACACCAGCTTACCTCCCATTTAGCTACGCTCTCTCAGGAGATGTGGCAACAAGGTCAATTCCCTCAGGACTTCAAGGACTCTACAATTGTTCACCTCTACAAGCGAAAAGGGAACTGCCAACATTGTGATAATCATCGTGAAATTTCGCTGCAAAATATTCACTCGTGTTCTCCTGAGCCATGCCAGCAACCACGTAGAACAAGGACTCCTGCCGGAAAGCCAGTGTGGTTTTCGTCTTCATCGCGGCACCAACAACCTTATAATCGTTGCTCGACAGCTGTAGGGGAATTGCCAGGAGATGCGCACCCACCTCTACACCAGATTCGCGGATCTAACGAAAGCGTTTGCCACGGTGCATCTCGCTGGACTTTGGGAATTCATGCAAAAGTTAGGTTGCCCTGAGCACTTCACTCACATGGTACGCCAGCTCCACGATGGGATGATGGCGCGCGTCACGGACGACGGGTTGGCGTTTGAAGCCTTTATAGTGACTAATGGAGTGAAGCAGGGTTGTGTCTTCGCGCCTACC